TCTTTCCTCAGGAGGATTGAGGCCAACTTTTCAAACTTTCTACTATAAATGTCAGGTGTGAATTAGTCCATATTCTGTAGTGGTAGACTTAGTACAGCAAACTGAATGTGCTATTGCTGTGTTATGGGGTAGCGGGAAACTTGCCTGAAATAGAAGTTTAAAGCTTTAAGTCCATCTTTGACTATGCAGAACTGATGTAACTTTAGAAATCTACTGCTTATGACACTCACTTTCTGGTAGCTGATGAGAAGTACATCTACAGTTGCACGTACAAGATACTCGTCTCTGCTTTACTGCAGTTAAATTCAGCTCTTGCAGCTCTGTAGAAGACAGTCCATGAAGCCTTTCAATAATTGTAAAGCCTTTGTGGACTTTCAAAGAGCTTGTGGTGAAGCTGGGGATGGGGAGAGACTTCTAATGGGTGCACTCTGCCCCTTGTGCATATTGCTAACTTTTGGATCACTGATTAAAACTTAGTTCTGTGTGCACATTTTATATCTGGCGATTTTATAGCAGTAGTCCTGAAGTATGAGAGACTTAATAAATGCAACCCTTGATCCAGGAATTGTGTTGGTTAGTTAAATCATCGGTCATTAGCTTTTCATATATTCTTTTTCTTGTAATCCAGTAGCGCACTATTTTACAGCATTGTCTTACTGCTTAAGGCCTCTGCAGTTTTAGTCAGCAGATCGTGGTCTTAACCACATCTTGACAAGCACATGGTCTCTAATGCAGCACATGCCATTAACTGGTGAGTAGGCATCCTGTTTACAATGACATTTTTTTGAATGTCAGCTTATACCTCAGTGAACTAAATCTACTTTTTTGGTGAGGCTTATTTGGAAACAGGTTGTTGATGTAAACTAAACTTGTCCAGAATTAAAGGTGAGAGTATGCAAGCTAGTTGCATTAACTTGGTTGAAAATTGCTACATCTCATTTTGGAAAGGATGTTAATTCACATCTGCACTAATGCTTACATTTTTAGCACTGCAGGGAGTATCTGTTCTCTGTAACAGATGTATGAGAATGCATCAAGTGGGAACATACCTCAAGGCATGTATTACAATAAACTAATTTTTAAATTACCCTTTTTTCCTTTCTATGTTCCCGGTACCTGTGGATCGGCTCAATGGTGATTGTATCGACGAACCTTGACTACGGAACCTTCTAAAAATATATACTTAACACACATGGACATCAACTACATATAATGAACTGTTAATACTGTTCCAATAGCGTCCTGAACGCTTTGGGCAGGGAGGCACGGGGCCTGTGGGTGGCCAGGGTCCTAGAGGAATGGGGCCTGGAACGCCAACAGGATATGGTAGAGGGAGAGAAGAATATGAAGGCCCAAACAAAAAGCCCCGATTTTAGACGTGACCTGTAGAGTTTCATTCCAGTTTGTTTTTGTCTGTCTTGTTTAGACACCTACTTTTTAATTCTTGCATTTTAGTAAGAAAGCTACGTTTTTATGGATGTTAGAAACTTATTGACCTAATATTTGTAAGTGGTCTGTTTGGGCAAGTACAACTTAATTATGTAATGCAGTGTTTCAGAAAAAAAAAAAAAATAGCTGTTTTTTTGATGTATAACGTCCCTAACTTGATGGCAGTGTACCTTGTGCCACTGAATTCCCAAAGTGTACCAACTTTTTTTTACTGTGCTTCAAATAAATAGAAAACTAAATGTAGCAACTATTCTTGCCATTCATGGTTCCAAATGATGAGGCCAAATGCCACACCTTCCAACATAAAACAAGAGTCTTGTAGGTCTAACTGGACCAGGGTGTGGAAGAGAGTAGCTAAAGGTGAGGTCTCCTCCCATGCTAGCTGTAGCTATAATATTGGGTCAATATAGTTGTTGACTAATTGATTTTCCAGTAGGCACAGATTTTTCTGAGTGTGAACTATGCTGTAGTAAGGAAGCAAACAAATTTTGCATGTTCTGTGTAAGATGTAGTAATGGAAGCCATACTGCAAATGATGCAGTCATGTAATGGATTTTGGATTTTAGCCATGGAGAAAAGGGGGTGGTGGTGTGGGATGGTGGCAGAGACTGACCTCCTTGGCAGTCGCTGTTTAAAATCTTTTAAAGACTTTAAACAGAAAAGTAGAAAATGTCATATTAAAATGAATCCATAGAATGGCTTGTCTTGACTGACTTTCTAATTAAAGGATTCGTAATGTGATGCTTGTGATCAAGCTGGAAATATGGTATTTGATCTGGTTTGGTATTTAATACCTAACTGAAATTTGGCAAAAAAGAACAAGTGCTACTGGAGTAAAGCAGGGAGAATCTTTTTAATTTGTACTCTGCAACTTGCTAATGTCCTTTATGTTAATTGAGTGGACTAACTTGTATAGTTCAGAAATCAATAGTGTAAATTTATAAGGGATCTGTAGAAAATAAAGTGCATCTTAGACTTTGTAGCTGGTGTGTAAGTCCCAAACTAGCATGCTAAATTCAGAGGAAATGAAGCTTCTTTCACTACAGTATTATCAGATGTTTTATTATTGATCTTTGCAAGACTAAGCTTAACAAGTAATGTATAAACATGGAGGTTAATTGCTAATGCTACACAGTACACACAAACTCCCTCTGAGGCTCTTATCTGAATGGTTTGATGAAGTTGTTAGCTTGCTATCAATTTCATTAAACCCCATATGATTTCAAGGTATTCTGGACTTTTTTGATGTCATACTTAGTAGTAATTTTATTACCATGATTTTGTATCCAACAAGCTGGGAACATCACTTCCCAGTGTGAAATGTCTTGGTGTTGATGTAGGATATATCAACCTGCCTGGCACAAAGTAGGTAAAAACCTAGTTTGGCTGCATTTTTCTCTGCACAAATTTTGAGCATTCTGTCAACAGCCTTTAATCTTCTGAAGAAGTTCCCACTCTTTGTGCTAAACATTGGCTAATTCTAAATTCTAGGCTAAATTTTATCTTGTATGGATAAAACTTTAGCATGCAGGTTGCATTATCTTGGAGTGCAAACAGCCCCTCTTTAGAACTGTGCCCAGTTAAGCACTGACTGTAGCTGTTTTAAATGCCAAATACTAGCAAGCTGTGAAATGTTGATACAAGGTAACATTGACTTTGAATATTAAGTATACTAAATAGACTCAGTCTGTCTGGTGAATTCTGTTTCCCAAAAACTTTGTAGAGGTTAAAAAGACATGTTCCTACTGTGAACTGATACAAACTGATACATAGGAAGTACTGGACCAACAGCACTTAAATTGGAGGTTGTCTGGGATCCATTGAATAGGATTCCTCAGTTCAAAATGGGAAGTCCAGTTTTTACGTAGATGGATTTTATTGTAGGGACCTAATAATGAAAATATTTTCCAAAGGGTGTTCATGGGACACCCAGAGAAGGTGAAGGTGTCTGAGGTGGGGAACTCTGAACATAAACGTTAAATTAATTTTTTTCAGTTTATTTTTCAGATTACATGTCATTCTTTATTAAAGAGATGCTGGTACATATCTTGAAATATGCTTTTTTTGTAGTACTGTAACTTTGAAGAGTGAAAGATGCTGATGTCCTAATATCTTCCAAAGGTGGTCTTTGGGTACCCCACTTTATGTAAGCTATTGTTGCTAGGTATTAAATAGAATAGTTGCAAAACTGTGCTTAGCAAATACACAGAAGGATGTGGCAGTTCCTAAACACCTGAAATAGTTTTGTTCAATGTTAAACTGGGAACAGGGTAACAGTGCTTGTAGCAGCATGAACAGATTGTCCAAAACAAACTCAAGTCCTGCTTTGAGTTGCATGTGCTAATCAGGATACAATAAATCCTAGCTAATTTGATTTCAAACTTTTAAAGTTACTGTCTTTTTAAAAGCTGGCACTTATATCAGAATTTTAAAGTGAATATACCCACTTTTAATAAACGTGGGAGGTAAGCAAGTTCACGATCCTCTGGTCTATGTCTACATTTCTGAAGTTTTCTTTAAAATCAGGCTATTCATATAATTGAGTTCAAAGTTTTTGTTAATCGTTTGGAAGAGCACTTCGTCTGCCAGCCCACTTCTGGATGGCCTAGACTGTGTAGAGAATACCTTGTTGTATATTTGGATTTGGAGAAACCATTGGCTGTTGCATTTTAGCCTACTTTAATTAAACTGGGCTTCTTGAAGTACTTTTGGTAACTTCTAAAAGTTTCTGCAGCAACCAAAATGGGTATTCTTTTGACTATTTTTCACACTATCAAATGCAGAACAAATCTACAGTGCTTTGTAGGCCCCTAACACTACCTGATTTTATATATTAATACATGAGAAATTGAAACTGCTTTTGAGTTTGTGGTATTTTTGTGGTAGAAAAATTCTTGGCTTCTCCTTGGCAACCATTTACTGTGGCAGCAAATTTTGCTGGAGTTCTTGAGACTGCAATTTACACTTAAATAGTGGCCTGCTACATAACTGCACTTAGCCAGCATTTCTGCAGTTCATAACTGTGAGGAACGTAGTACCACAAATGGCAATGGACATTAGGACCCGGATGTAGTATTCCTGCTTGCTCCAAGATTCTCATTGCCGACTGCATACAGGTAGGTAACAAGCAATATAATATAACTTGGTGACTTTCTTTGTAACCTTATTCTGTGGGTATTCTGACATCACACTTCTGACTATGGAATTACATTGCAGCACTCTTAATACGTGTACGTTTAGTTGGCATCCAAGCTGCGTGGCTTTCGGTTTGAGGGTTATTTTTCAAAAACAATAAGCAACTCTTTGTGATTCTTAGATAAGCATCTCAGACCCGATTCCTTTGTACATGACTTGATTTGTGTGGATTTTTAGTTATGCTGTGACAAAGATATTTTTAGATGTTCTCTGTGGGGAAGAGGGAGTGTGAACTTAGAATCATTTAACTAGTCAACCTGGTGCTGTTGGCACCTAAAAGAAAGGACTTTTTGCTTTAACTTTCTGTAGTAACAAAATGACCTGTCTGCAGTGCATTCCTTGTAGGTAGGGTCTTTGCTATTTAGGAAGTAACACTGGTAATCGTGCTATCCTTGAGTGACCTAGGTAATAATAACTTGAAGCTCACTCTATTGAGCTTTAGGACTGGGCAAAAGAACATCTTAGGTCATAAATTGTGCTAAAATGAACATCCTCATAATTTTACAGGATTTACCAGCAACTCAGTACCTCTTACTCTCTGGGTGGCAGTGGTCATGATACATTCAAGTGCCTTAAATTGACAAGATACTAGGAATCCAAAGATTCCTTCCTCTGTTCTCTTGGTAGTTTTACTTTCCAGCAATATTGAGCATATGATTATTTTAGTCTCTTCAGTACTAAAACTAATTGCATCATTTTAAAAGGTTACATGCTTGCATGTTTCCAGACTAGCATATGTGCTGATCTTAGGCCCTGTCTCCTCTGCGTTAGTTCTTGACTTGATGTTTTTATTCCAAGTTCTTTTTCAGCCTCTGATGTGGTTCTTGGCTAAAAAATAAGAGCTTGTTTTGGAGGTTTTGGGTTTTTTTTTTTTTCCTATTTGAGCTGCAAAGTTTGTTTTTTTGGGGGGTTTTTGGGTTTTGTTTTTGTTTTTACTTTGCATACTTGACTGTGTTGTACACTTCTGTCAGACTTGGACACCGTTACTGTGTCTTACAGGAAAGAAACTTTTATTAATAAGCAGGTCATAAGCCAATTACCCTCTGCGGTAGAGGTATTCATGGACCACTGAAAAAAAGTTTCTGTACCTGGTAACTTGGATCGTAACGGGTCTTTACATTCCAGTAAGTGTAGCTGAACACATGCAAGTCAAGTAGTGGCAACTAAGCCATTTTGGACATTTGATGATACCTTCCAGTCTTTCTGTGAATAAAACTTAGTAAGGGATGGCAGCTTACTGTCACACAGTGACAGTTGGGTTACTTATTAGGTATCTCTAAACCAATGGTCAGGTCTACTTACGTTCTGGGCACACTTACTTACCTTCAGGAGTGCTGTGGAGGGGTTTTATGGACACAACTATCTTGTTCTACATACTTGGAAATAATAGGGGTGTTTTTACACTCTTGGAGCAAGTGGTTTGTGATAAAACCATGGGTTATATTGGCTCTGTCTGCAGTAATGAAGCTTACTGCTGTAGCTGTTTCAAAAGCAAATAGTCACATTTATTCCTAAGCAAACAACTTGTAGCAAGTGGGTATGAGAAATAACACCAAAGTGCTTGCATTGTATTTCATCTTGTTTCCATCTTTCTCTGCAAATTGCACTTTTCCTCAGAAGTTTATCTGAAGCTCAGAAGTGTGGTGTCAGAATACATATGCCTGTGAGGCCCTCAGATCAAATACTGGTGCTATCAGAGGAGAGCACAGCAAGCATATAGTGTTTGGGGGCTTTACTGTAACATTACGCAGCAAAGTGTTGATTGCTTGCAGTTTCCCCAGCAGCTAAACACTGAGGCCTGTGAGTAGTTTTAGGACTTGAGCAGTAATGGGGTTGCATGTTTCTGTTAATCATTGCCAGCTGCAGTGACACGATCAGGAAGGCCAGTGTTCTTGTTTAATTAGGCTAATCATACTGGAGAGAATACATAAAAAGTATGCTGCTTTGGACTATATACTTGGATGCTTAGCAAGGTTGGAATCAGCTGATAATCCTCTGATTTCTCTCCATACCAGCTTGTGGGATTCTTCAAATAGCTGCTCATGGAAAAGGAAAATGGGAGGATTGGCCTTCTCCCACTTCTGTCATTGCTGCTAGATAATGATTGACAAGTTAGGACTTGATTGTACAATCCCACAGTGGTTTGTGAATACCCCATCATCTATAAATGTTGCTTTTGAACACCAGTACTGAAGAGCTAACTTGGGAGGTGGTGGGGGGTTGGGGAAAGAAGCGTGGCTATTGCTGGATAATCTGGAGTATTGGCAAGATGCACAAAGATATAGTATCCCTTATGCATGGTGTTTGTTGCTACAATGGGAATTCATTTTTACTTATGGAGGGGTTATGCTTAACCAAGAGGTGGGTTTGAGATTAGATTTGAGCTTCTCCCTCTTGGAGCTAGCAACATTTGTGATTAGCAGTGTGCTTTGCCTCCAGCCAAAGGTGTGCACAGAACATAGTACAGATATACATTTCTAGCGAGTGTTGAGAGTAGGTCTTCTGGCCCTCAGCATGGCTGTAATTAAAGGATGGGTATGCAGAGGGGAAACAGCAGTGGTGACTCTCCAGTGGGTTTCTTTGGCTTCTTTTTTTTTTAAACTGCTTAGGATACTTGGGCTTGGGTATGTAGCTAGGATGGGGACGTCTCACTCTTGATGTAGAGGACTATATTTTTACAACTAAAATATGGCAGTGAGCTTGACAAAATTTGTTACATGCCTTCACATAAGGGATAGTATACCTCTGGCTGCAATTAAACTTCATGGTACTCAGACTGGTGAAACTAGCCGTTACGGTTTGTGTTCAGTTTAGGTGCAGTTCTTCAGTCCACCACCTGTACATTCTTTCACTTTCTTACAAGTGTTTAGACTAGCCTACTTCTGCCCCTTACACTGCTTCCACCTAGCATTTGGGAATAACTTGTAAATTCCCCTCATAACTAATCAGTCCATGTATCTTTTAAATGTTACTCAATGTAAAAATTAGATTTCTGTTTTCAGAAAAAAATTGGATGTGCTTTTATAATAACTTCAGTTTATTATCCTTTAGGTGAAGATGTTGCAAGTTGAGTGAAACCAGAGTGCTCATCCATATGAAGTGAGTATATCTGTTAATTGCTTTACAATAAAAGGGATATTTAACCTGCTGTGAACTGGAGTGCTTGATTGCCCATGCTTCCAAGTTGCTACATCTTAGTAGAAGCTAAGATTATAATACCACGTAGATAGGTAGTAGTTTTGCTACATGCACCCCATTGTGATAGGGGATATAGAGAAGTTGTTAATAATACTAAAACGTAGTTCAAACTACTAAATTTGTGAAATGCCTGCTATTGACTGCTTTTTATATTTTTCCATATGACTTGCATACCTGTACTGGCCATCACTTCTGATCAAAACTTCCTTTTATTCGGTTCCAGTCGTTTTTCCCCTTGATCTCTTACTTTCCCTGGATGTTGTTTCTCATACAGGACACAACTGAATGCCGTTGCATAACTTTTGAAAGTCGCCAAATAAAGCAACTCACCTGCAGGATTTTCAACATTTAGATGCAACAGTTCTACTAGGCAGTATGTGTTTGTGGAGTGAATAGAGGTTTAGAACATGTGTTCACGGATATGAATTCCAGTGGGATTTGTTTTAACTGTGACTTGATGACAATAGTAGTAGAGCTGTCTTTCTAACAGATGTTCCATTCTTTATTTTTGGCATACAAAATATGGGAGAAATTAACTTTGCATTTTTTCCTAGTACAGGAGTAGAGCATGAGCACAATCCAGCATGATGTGATCTCAGGTGCTGTTGCGTAGCCAAAATACAAAATCAGTTGGTAAGTTATTTACCATTCAAAATTAAGCTAAATGATTTCTGCTCAAAATTTGGATCACCTATTTTTCTAGTGTGCTTTGTATCAAGCCTTTTCAGTCTTGCTTTATAGAACCACCATTGACATTTGTTTCAAGATACTTGGCCTCTGCAGCATCAGTCACTTAACCTGCAAATGCTCAATTATGCAATTTTCATGTTAATTTTAAAGGTCTTCATGTAGTGGGGAGGATATCCTTGTCTAACAAAGCAAAAGCAGAGAGGTTTTTTTGTTTGGCTCAAATGTTAGGCTTAGTGCAGAAACATTAGGTTCTTGTTCCTTTATCTTCAAACCATTTTATGGATCTTAAACTTCAGCAAGGACAGTGAAGCAATGCACCCATCTTACACAGAGAAACAGACAGACCAAGTGGGCCAGCCTGTGGGTAGCAGGAATTTTAAGTTGTGAATTCTCTACTCTCTCCCCCACCCCCCTCCCTGCTCCCCATGCATTATGTGAAGATTAACCTTTAGGTTAAAATGCTTTAAACGTTGAATTTCTTACAGCCACAGGGATAGAGAAAACATGCTAGATACCATCTTTGTTCAGGCACTAATCATTTTGTGCATCTGAATGGTATGTAGGCAGGTGTCTGAAGCCTAGTATTAGAAAGTTGAGATGACTTGATTCTTGATGAAATCTAGTCGGTCTGTTCTTGTTTCTAGGATATAAAAACATGATTTAAAGCTCTGAAACCATCTCACTTTGATTTGAGTGACACTGAAAAAATTGTGAAAACTATTCCCTTAATCCCAGGTGCATTTTACGGTATGCTAGAGCATGTGTGGGGCCAGGTGCATGGACCTTTCTGTTTATATTGAGTCATTTCTTACAAAATGACCACTTTATATACAAATGGCCTTCATAGATGAAAGCTTGGTTTTCATTTCCTTAGAATTTTTGGTGCTAACTTTTTTTGTGCTTTCTTATTCACAGGAGGAAGCGGTTTTTGAAATCCAAAAGAGCCCCAATGGAGGGGAGCCAGGAGCCAAGTGGCAACCTTGCTTTTCAATAAAATATTTTTTATTTTCCTATAGATATGGCTTGGTGTGTTCTCTTACACTAATACTGAAGCTTGTATGTGTATCCCTGAACTTATCTGAACACAATCATACATTCAGAATCATTATTTAAAAAAAACCCCAAAAACTGTTGAGGGAGATGCAGTAGGTGATGTGCTATGAGTTCCTGCATATATAAATATGCAAGCATTACTGTACAGAAAGGACTTCAGACCCTTTTCCTTGAACTTAAGTATGTCTGCTTCACTGCTTTCAGTACAGCTCCACAATGCAGAACTATTTTTCTTGTGGTTTGCCTGAGACCCTCAGAGCAAGTGCCTCCCTTGGCAACTGCTGGTGCTAGCTTGGGAGAATAGAGAAGACTGTTTCTTCTTGCCCAATTTACCCACAAAACTAGTTCCCTAGTTCTGCATGCTGTAGAAAAACAATCTTTGTTGAAAATATTTTTCCCTTCAGAATTTTTTAAATGAGAACAGCTGCTTTTCAGCAGAGCAGCTAGAACTGTTAACCAGGACTCATTTAGAAAATGGCTTCTAGCTCTTGAAAAGGATGAACAGTAATCTTACTGCTTCAGTTTTTGTGTAAGTTTTTAAATTTAGCTGAGAGAGCTAGTGAGTTCCTTCTGTTGAAGGGAGAGAGTCACTAGATAACAGTTGAATGTATTCTTCCCAGACCCAGTATTAAATGCATGCTCCTCTACTAACCAGTCATCTCTAATTATTGTAATCTGAGTCTATATGACTTGTTAACAAAATGCAGTTAAGTCTTTCGGTTCGCATCTACTTTTCCTTGGCTTACTGTGAATGTTTGGATTGATTAATTGGGTTCGTGCACACATGACATAACTCAAGGTATTTCTTGAGAAACCACTAAAAAAACAAATGTAAATTTTGAATAATCCATTTGGGATTGATACTTGCTATAAATAGTCATGCCTATCAGTGGGCAGCAAAACTGTAAATAGATTCATGTCTTTCATTTCCATGGTGCTGTGGATGTATCCTGTTTAACTCAACTTGGTTAATGGGCTAAAAAGGTCAAGTGCTCATAGAAGTGACTTACTGCTTTATTGCAGCATGGATTTGACCTGTCTTGTTCATGCAGTAGCCTGACAACCCTGAAAAACTGCGTATAAAACTTGTCAGGCCAACAGGGATGTTACGTGGAGAAGTGCACTTGTCTTTTCAGGCAAGTTTTTGAAACTTGGATGCTTCTAAAAGACACAACTTGACAGGCTATAGAACTGGGGGGTTAGGGGTAGACCAGTGGTTTTTCACCTTGATATCTAGACCCGAGGCACTTCTAGTTATAGATTCAAGGCACCCTTTAGGAAACGTTAACTCTTAGTTTTCATTTTTTTTCTAGTAAGAAATAGATAAATTCTGTTGCAGTGAATTGACCACAATGGCAAAATGGTTTCCAACTATGGAGTCATATTTGAAACTTCTGGATTTGTCTTGTGACTGGCACGTAGGCGTTTGCAGTACAATGGTGTTATTTAATATTACATGTTGCTTAGGATCTTGTGGAACCCTGGTTGAGACCCACACTACTGGAATAGATCTACAATCTTTCTTAAGGAAGTGCCTGAGTTTTGAAGTGAATAATCAGGTGTGTCCTATCTACTGAGTTTGAATTAATAAAGTTTGGGTTTGGTTGTTTTAAAGGCTTAATTTCATAACCTGGCCCTGGCAAAAAAACAAAAAACAAACCCCAAACAAGCGCCCCAGTAACATCAGACAATGTGGTAAGTAACACCGTGCTTGAGGTGCCATGCTCAAAATTTGTCCCCTCAACTTGTTTTAGATTACTTTTATCTAATGTAAAGATACAAAAGGTTTTGTTCTGTCTCAACTTGCCCTTATCTAGTATTTGTATAAATTAAGACTTCCTGGTAAATATGCTGATTGTAACTTGCATAAGGCAAGGTAGGGGTTGACACTGATAGATTCTGAGAACCAAGAAAGGTTTGAAGAGGCAGTCGCACCAAAATTAAATACGCATAAGAGCAGCTAAAATGTCTAATAGCAAATTGAATAACAACATGCAGAAAAGATGGACGTGACCAAACAGTATAGATGCAGCATATCAAGCAAATGATTCAAATGTATAAAATGCATGTGTAACTCAGTGCAAACAATCATGTGTTTTGAAAGTAATTTTATTCTGAAGACTTATAAGTCCTAAAGTCACAGCTTCTAATAGCTGGCCAGCCCATGAAGGGAAAGTGTCTTTTTCATCAAGTTTTGAAATTTAAGTTTTAAAAGCTCGTATCTTAAAAGTTCCTCTGGAGAGGGGCTATTTGGCAAGAGTCGTACGTGGTTCAAGGCTGAAGAGTAAAGATACTGAGATGAATCATGGACTCCTATGGCTTGACTAAAATACAAAAAGCTTCCTAAATAAATAAGTGGGTGTGAAAGTATTCCTAATGGGTACTACGTCGAAATAATATTCATATATCTCTTTATCCTCTATGTAAGCTCCATCTTGTCCTAAATTAACCTTGCCTAACCACTAAATTTACTTTAAGCAGCCTCAGTGAGACCTGTAAACTATCCCCCCCCTGCCCTTTAATTTTCTAAAATGGCTCGCATCTTGTGACATGCTCTGCCCTGATTTCCTTTGCCTCTTTTATTACCTAAACTTTGGTCAAGCAAATATGTTGCCATGAAGCAACTTAAAAGCCTACAACAGTCTATAAGGTTCACCTTTAGGCTAACTGAATCAGATGCATAAACTTGAAGAGCCACAACTCACTTGATCAGGTGCCATGAAAGTTCAGTCTTTCAGAGAACAGGCTATCAAATAGCAGTAGAGTCTTAAATAGAAAATGCAAGAAGATGGGGGAAGCAAGGGCAGTGCTGAGGGAGATGGGGTTGGAGAAAAATGAAGCCATAAATGTGCAGACATAAAAGCTAATCCAAGTAATGGGATAAGGAGCAGTAGGCCCAGTTAAGACCATATTTAATACAATCCCTTCTGTGGATAATTCTTTGGTAAGAAACTGCCTCTAGCAATTAGCATAATTAGCAGTAGAGAATAACTCCAGGCCTGCAATACTAGGGAGCTGTAAGCCAGTTCTAAGGTGTGGTAAAACACCAGGGGTATTCAAGTAAGCCTAGTAAGGAGGCTTATTTGGCTCCTTAAGCACTCTTACTGTGTTTTCCAGTTATCTGTAGAATAGCACAATTTGTTAAATACAGGGTAACTTAGCTACAAGGAGAGAGATCATAGCTGCTCTATAAAGAAACCATTACTCTGCCACTTACAGTACAAGGATTTCAAAATGAGAGGAAGGATGCCTCTTCATTGTGTGGTCATTTATCTTGGAAGGATTGCAAGCCAGCCCTCCTGTTACACTCCATCAACAGGTGGTAATTAAGTCCATTTTACTCATCATTAATAGATATTGCATAGAGTTCAATGACTGAATTATTTATCTCTTAATTTAGATCTTGAGAGGATTTTACTGCTGTAGGAAAAAGGCTTAGAACTCTTCCAGGAGTAAGTAGCCCTAGTGTCCTGTGGTCAGTTTGCAGAAATGAATGATTGCAGTGGAGTGTTATGCTCGGCTATGCCAAAGCAATCGTTGGGGCTGGACTGCCCAGGCGTTCTGGAGCTCGTTGCAAAGCGAGGGCCGGCGGTTGACCAGATTCTCTCCTCCCATGCAAATCCTGTTCTTCCAAATGCTGGGAAAGCAGCTTTGCCCCAGCTACCTAGGAGAGGCTTTTGCCTTGGCCAGCAGCAGCACACTGGGAAATGGCACTTGAGGAACATGTTGGTACCTCGGTAAGTCCCTGTGTCCTTTTTGTGTGGGGTAGTATGCAATAGCCCTTTATTAAACTTGCTACAGAACTTCTTTATGAACAAAACTATAGGAATTTGAAGTGGGAGGAAAGTAGGTCTTGCATTGGGCATATCCCCCCCCAGTAGTTAATTCTGGGTTGTGGAGCTTTTCTCTTTTCCTTCCACCAAAGTTATAACTGCCAAGGATTTATCTTAGTTCTGTCTCCAATGTGGGGTTTTGGACCACTCCTGAAGTGAGGCTGTTCCAAATTGACATGAGTCTAAAATCCAGGAGCATCCCTTGTATATAAAATCCTCCTGCACCTGCTTGTAACCACAAACTGCAAATCAGTCGTCTTGGGAGTGAGCCCCAAGAGGGCCCTCTAAGGGAGGCCTGCAAAAGCTACCTTTTATGACATTCTGCTTTTGGATCCAGGCTGCCAATGACTCCAGGGCTGATTAGTGTTCACCTGTGAAAGACTTTTAAAGTGGGCCTGGCAGTATGCCAGTCAGCAATTTGGATTCCTGGCTCCTACCAGGGATTACCTGATTTAACCAATTCTAGTGGAGTTAATGTAACAACTCTCACAATAGAAGAGGAAAATCCAAAGACAAATCTGGGTCAAACGCATGCACATTGTGCGTGAAGTCAGAGGGGTTGTTGCCATCCCGACTTGAACAGTGCTTGGAAGAGAGGAACCAGGCTAGATAAAGGTGGGGAGTACAAGGCCACTGGAAGAAAAGTAGACTCCCAGTAAAGTGCTGCTCCACCCTGCAGGCCACAGCAGCAGCAGCTCCCCCTGTGTCCCCCTGCCAGCTGTTGGTTCCAGCCCATTTGTAGCACTTGCACTCTCAAGGCTGCATTGTCACTTACCCCAACCCTGGGGCTGTGACGAGCTCAGTTCCCATAACTGCGTCAAGGGGAGCTGTAACCAGAAACTGTTGAGCTGAACCCTCAGAAAGGTTTTAATGGAATGGGATGGCCTCATCCTACTGCCCTTTTCTGACCCTGTCCAGGTGTGTGAATTAGCCTGCATATAACTGAGCCTCCTTTTCTGGAACCAAATCCTAAGGCCTGCATTGTCCCAGCCACCAGTTCTGGATTTTGATGCCCCAAAAAGGGCTGGGGATTTGAGCCCACCCCGCACTTTTGTTGTAGCCTGGTGGCACTAGGGTTTTCAAACTGCTTTCTTGTAACATGGGACTGTATCACAGAAGAGTTGAGAACT